ATTTTTAGACTGCCTACTGTGGGCTGTTTCGGCACTATTTGGAAGGAGCACATTTGAGATGTGCCGTCATAATAATATTAATGCACTGTCAAACTCGCTACGAGTGTTGTCATCGCTTGGGTTATCCCCAAGAACGATTTATAGGTCAAGTTACACTGTTGAATATCCTATTATGTGTAGCTAAAGCGCGTGGACTTTGGCATGGAATTGTAGATGTTTTACGACGCTATAGACAGAGAAATGACAGTCATGGCGCCGGTGAGGGCCTTGTTTTGATATATTTGTCTAGCGTTTGTTTCTGGCTTCTTTCACTTTGTTATTGTGGGTGTTTTACGTAAAAGAGCATTAAAACATTTTGGGCGGCACTGCACGACCGTGCTCTATGGACGGACCGCGCCTGTTAGAGGGCATGCGTGACCAGTCAGACTTACTATTTCACTGTCTGCTGTAACTGTCTTCCTGCCTGCCTGTTCGGCTTTTCCTCACCCCGAAATGACGGTTGTTGGGTCAGTTTGTTCCTCTGCACTAGAGCTGGGCGGTTCTGGAACCTATTCCCGCGGTAAGAACTACAGAGAAAAAGCTACGATTTTTTTTGTTTACTTTCTTCATTTTTTAAAAACATATTTTTGAAAAGAAAATATTGATGCCTCGCCGTGATCTGACATCGAGGTTATCCTGGATCCTGAAGCTGCTTGAAACCAACTAGGTAACGGGGAAGTAAGACGTGCTACTTTGCCGGAAGTAATCAGGTAATTGTCTAAGTGTCGGAACCAATAGAGCTAATCATGGACACACGGACAAAATCACAATAGAAGAAAGAAATTGCGTTCGGACTGGTTTCCCACGATTTTTAGTTTGCAATAATCGGAAAACGCCCGCCACTAGAGCCTTTTTTTTTTTTTTTGGAAAGTGTTTTTACGGCGCTCGCAACTGCATAAGGTCACATGAGCGCGCGGGACACACCTAATATTTTCAGTTGGTAGGAAATTTTGAATTTTGCACGGGTGGCGACCGAAGCCTAATCTTATCGATTTTAGACCACCAAGGGATCTTTAACGTGCGCAATTTGCACACGGGCCCTCCGAGATTTTTCGCCCTTGTCCGAGAAGGCTAGGTGTAGATCTTTCCTACCAGAAGATCAGGGGTGTGGCAGAAAGACAGCAGTAAGGAGGGGCCAAGGAGTAGCAGTAGAAAGGCTGCAGAAAGAGTCAGGAGCCCAGAGGAGGGGGTGAGGTGAGGCAAAGGAGGTGAGGGGGTGGGGGGCAGAAAGTGGAAATGAAAGCAGACAACAGAACATTGCTAGAGATCAGGAAAGGAGGTGAAAGGAGACAATTTTAGAGAAGAAATTTTTTTTGGTCGCTACCCGGATTCGAACCCGGGACCTTTGAATGAGAGGCCAACATCTTAACCTCTAGGCCACGAGAGCCCCCCTAAGATCAAAGGTGGTACTAGGGAGTAACTAACACAAAGAAGAAGGAGAGATAAGGATGATACATGTTTTATAGGAAAGAAGGAGCAAGCAACACCAGGGCACCCGCCAATCATCCACATTATTATGCGCGTTGATCCAGAGGTTATCAACTGGGATAATGTAAGACGGGGACAAAAACAACAAAGGGACAGAAAAGAAGTAGGACCTAACGATGCTGCATCCAGCCATCCGCAAAACGATAAGAAACAAGGGAGAACCAAAGTTTGAGGTAAAGAGAAGACGCAATACAAAAGACATCGGTGAATAAAGAGAGTTCTAGAAGCGCATTGATAACATAATGGTGCGTTGAAAAAAACCCAAAACAACAAAGATGGCAGACAGAAGCAACAGACCGAGAGCGTAAAAGGGAAGGATCTACATATTGCGACCTCCAACCACCTGCTACAGTTGCCCTACAATAAGACAGTTGCCCTACAATAAGACAGTTGCCTTACAATAAAACAGTTGCCCTACAATAAGGCAGTTGCCCTACAATAAGACAGTTGCCCTACAATAAGACAGTTGCCCTACAATAAGACAGGGTGACAGAAAGAAGCAACATCTAGCCCACTACACGCTTCACGCGACTGACTACAATAGTATCATGTGTATACCCTTCAGGCATCCGCGACCTTCAAGACAGACAAACTTGTCGTAACACATAACTCCTACAATGATGAGACGGGGTGGTTGGGGTGGGG